ACACACACACACACACACACACACACACATATATATAAAATACTTAATTCCACACATTTGAGTAGAAGTAATAAATTACTTTAATTCCTGTTTAAATGCAATTCATCCTGCCATACCTGCAGTGTCTTCAGACTTTGCCAACAATTTAAAAGTTGAAGCTTAATCATTAAATTATTATCTTTGTGTTAGATTTATTTATAAATCACATTTAAACACTGATTGTACCAATTAAATTAAATAAAAAGTAACACACGTTCTCTATCACCGCCATTAATCAGATAAACAAACAAACAAACAAACAGCAGCTTCATCTACCAGAGAGACTGACGTTACGTTTTCTCTCTTGAAACAGAACAATGTGTTAAATTGTAGAGACTCACCTGCAACACGAGTTGGGAGTGAGACATGTTGCATCTGCTGTAGCTCGTGACTCCGACATGTTTACGTTTTATCTCTGTGGTTTTCTCGTGTCGTGTCGGCGATTTTCTAAGCTGCATGCTTCTCATGTTTTATCTTTGTGAAGAGCTCCCACACTTTGGAGGACTTGTGTCGGAACAGTTTTCGCTGCGTCGTTTGTAAAATTTACTTAATTTCCTTTGAAAACACTCTGCTCTGCTTCCTCCTCCCCCCTCGCTCTGTTCAACTCACGCTGCAGTTGGTTTTTTTTTTCAAACTTTATTCAGTCAGTCAGCATTGACAATGAACTGCCAGTGAACAAAACAGCTCCGCAGCGCCGTGAAAGATGCATAATCGCGCGACACAACGAATCGATAATGAAATTTGTTGCCAACGCTTTTAATCATGGATTTTTATCGATTTTATCGATTCGTTGTTGCAGCCCTATTGGAAATGACTCCAGCCTTCTACTCAGAAAGTTATTGAGAAGGCTGCTTCATACTTTTAGTTAAAGTAAAACGACCATTTTACTGCTGGGGCAGAGCCTGTTAGTGAAAACACTAATCATGCTGCTTCTCTGGCCTACCTGCTTCCTCTGCCCATCATGTCTCCACTTGTCCCAATACCCTCTGGGAAGCTTTTGACACCCAGAGGGCCACCTTGCAGTTTCAGCTCTCCTGCATCTCCTCTTCCTGTAGGAGAATGTACTATATTAAAGATTATACACTTTTTTCTGTACACACAAACTAAAGTTGGTTAAGTATGTAATTAGAAAAGCACAGAGATGTATAAGACTTCTGGACTTGTCATGTAGACACTTCACATTCATGTTAAGGCTCTTAACCATTCACACCATCACAATAATAAAATTTGAATATGAGTATGTCCATATTCTTTCAAAAACACTGACTTCTTATTAACGTGTACCCTAGACAGAAATTTGAAATAATATTTTAAAATGTCAGATAAAAGCCAATAAGCTTATGATGATACTGTAGCTAATGGCATACAGCCATCTTCAAAAGATTTCCCTTTTTAAAACAGAAATAGACACAAGTATTATGTATTTTAAAACATTTTTGTCCAAGTTTGAGAAGTGCAGAAGGTGACAGGATTTTACTAACAATTTAAGACAGTTGTCATGATTGAGCAACTTTTTTCCTAACTAAAGGAACTGCTTTGTACAGTTAAACTTTTAACTTTTGTCTTTATTTTACAAGCGATTATAAATACGGACCCATTGCTTGAGTTCCTCTTCCGTAGGAGGTCACAGACTCAATGCCCATTGCCTTAAACATCGAGACCAGTGTTGACCCTTGACCACGAGCTTGCATGCTAACCTGTAAAAGAAGTAAACCTCAGGGTAGGGCTGGACGATTTGACAAAAACTTTTATCACAATATATTTCTTAATTTCGTTCAATAACGATATAATTCCGTTATCGATATAAATATAAAAACCTCAGAAAAACTGTACAAATTCTACAAATAAATTAATGTTCACCTTTTATTTGTATTTAGCCTTCAAAGATTTTGAAATCACCATCAAATAAACATAAAACTCTCAACTTTGTCAACAACGACATTACCTAACACAAGCAGCAAACATCTGCATTTGCTGCATGTTTTTCTTTTGATACAGCTGGGCCAGTTGTTTCAGGGACACATTGGCTCAAACTTTTATTGTGCTTCATCTTGACTCAGCATCTTCTATCGAGTGGAACAAGTTAGATGTGTTCCCACCACTAGTTGGAACTAGAGTTGCACTCGGGTCCAAAGAATCCGACCCGGCTCCAGCCCGCAACCATCATCTTTGAACCTCACCCGATCCGACGAATTAACAATAATTACAGGTCCAAACCTGGAAAATACCCCAATATTTTAAATTAAGCTTTAACTGTTTATACCACCGACCATTATTAACGATTGGAGGATGCGCGCGGCTGAATAAAGGGGCAGAAGATCAGAGCTGAGGAACCGTCAAAGTGCATTAAATGCTTCCCCTGCTTCTGCCTGCATTGGACCCTGCTCCAACATGTCAGATATTTTGTGATCTCACCCGTTTGGGTCTTCGGCCGCGCACGTCCGCTGAGTGCCGCGGCTGAATGAACGTCCATTTGGGCTGATGGATGGCTAGCAATAGTCCAGCTGAAGCTTAACTGAACTTTTTACCTCTTTCAACCGGCCAGTCAGCGTGCGGTCAAATGACCATGTGCGGCAGGTGTAGTATGGCAAGCCATGTTTGCATATATTGGATCGTCGGCTGCACGCGTTCCTGACACAATTAAAAGCCCGACACCGAACCAGCCGACACATTAAGCACATTACTATGGCCCGGCTCCAGGTTTGGGTTAGAAATGACAGCTTTAGTTGGAACGGCACATTTTACAGCGCACTGAAACCTGCAGTTTATCGGATCTTAGAAAGCCGAACCACGTCCACACCACCGAATTAGACCTTCCGCTCTTATCAGTGATGCCATCTGCTTTCTCTTTGATTGTGAAAGCTTGTTCAGTCACATTCTGACGGTCATGGGCACTCATTTTGAAGCGAAAACTTAACACGCGTTGTAGATTAGCCTAGCCTGCTACCACCAACTCCTTCTGGACTCGAGCTCTGCGCAACATCTACGTCACCACGCACTTACGTAGTTGTGTCGCACCTTTTTCTGTTCGGGTTGAAACTGAAGCAGCCGCTTCAACCCGAACAGAAAAAGAAATGCGTCAATGAAATGCTGTAATCATATGGAAATATCAAAAATGTGCTTAAAACTCAGATCTCTGTTATTGAATAAAAGTATATTGTGACATATATCGATATCGAATTATTGTCCAGCCTTACCTCTTCTTCCGGAAATGTTGAAGTATCCCCTGCAGAGACAGGTGGCGTCAGTTCAAACGAAGGTTTTCGTTTATGTTGTGCTTCCATTTCGGACAGAACTGCACCTCTTGACACCCCCAGCTTCGGCCCAGATACTGGGAGAAGTCCACTGGTTCGGCCGACTCCTTGGTCATCAGGCTGCATTAACAGCCCTCTACCTCGTGCAACTACAGATTCTGTAGGGGCTAAAGGCACAGTTTCTCTTGGGAAGTTATCACCAGGACTGAGGACACCCCTGGCTCGTCCTATACCTGGCCCTTCTGCAGTGAGGAGCCACCCTCTACTACGACCTATAGCCATCTCCCCAGGCTGCAGTCCTCTTCCGCGTCCTAGCCAATGAACGCCTGTCATGTCACCAAGGTCTGTGGGCTTACTTGGGTCCATTTTTTTCAGCCTGTAATAAATTCAAAAACAGGTCAGCTGTTTGGAGGGGGAATTCTGTAGCAGCATCTGATTAATGTACTTCACTATTTCACTGTGCAAAAAACAAATAGTAAACTTTTATTTATGTCTGCAGTCATTATTTTGTTTACAGTAATAGGTACAAATACCTAATTTTGTGTTATTTTTCTCTACCAGCTACATCAGAGCAGAATTTTCTCAATAGCAACTAAAAAACTTCATCAAAATTAAACGATAATGTAAAAAAAACATACAGTATGGATATGTGGTATGTCGGTTATTAAAGATAAACTATAATTACGAGACAGGAAATGAAACTGTACAGCTTATATCAATGCTGTATAATTCTGTTTTCACTGGTCTGTTTCTTTTTTGGTAAACAAGCATGTTTCTATTTCACTTCGCACACCCTCTTTAAAACCCTGCTACTACTGTTAAAATATATTGCATATGCATCAAAGAGCCACGATCATCCACAAGGTAGGTAGCCAACTAAAATAGATTGTGACCCATGCTGGCAAAGAGTTGGAATAAGCACAAGCTGTAAAGATAATGGATGGCTGGATGGATGCAACAGAAAATAATGATTTCTGGCATAAATGGGTTTTGCATAAAAATGTGTCTAATATAAATGGACTGTACTTATATGGCGCCTTTGTATCTTATCAAGACACCAAAAGTAGTAAAAATGTGTTACCACACAATCTGTTCCCTCATTTACCCACTCATACAGCACTCTACTATATCTAGACAAAGAATAATCAGAGCTTTATCACATTCATAAACCGATGGGACACACATCGAAGGCAATGAGGGGTTCAGTGTCTTGCCCAGGAACACTTCGGCATGTGACTACTGGTGGAATCGAACCTCCAACTCTTGCATTGGAGGACGACTGCTTCAACCACTCAGCCACAGCTGCCCATAAAACACTGTCTAGCAACCCCAATAACTAAAATAGCATATAATCTTCCTAATCTACCTTTAAGTCAAAGTTTTCCAACAGTCATGTCTTGAGAAAATCATTTTAACGTCCTTTAAAATTGGCAAATTTTCCTCTACCATTTGCCATCTTTTTACAAAATGTTCCTTCCCAATTACATCATTCCAGACTAACAACTACTGAGCTTTCAAACCAGCACTCTTGTAAAAAAAAAAAAAAAAAAAAAAACTAGCTTATTGTCAAGCAATAATCATCTTATTTCTACAAACACTAATTTGAAGCGTTGGAGATTAAGAATTTTTTTCATTCAACCTTTATTTATACAGGTTCATCCCATTGAGCCTCGGGGACTCATTTACAAGAGAGACCTGAGAATTTGAAAATAACATAGAAAATCTCCTCATTGTGACTCGTTTTACCAGCACAGGATACAATTGCTCCCGTTTAAATGTTTAGGAGCAAGCAGCAATTAATCAAGTTTCTAAACTGGAGATATGTCCCAGCCCCTGGATTTGTTGTACCCTCTTAAGCACAGTATTGTCTGCTCATATGTAGAGCAGCAAACCACACAGCATTAAACTTCAGGTTGGAATTAATTTTCTACCATTTCACATGACAATAAATCCAAAGTAGCTCTGCTGCTGTCTTAAGCTTGTCTTTGGGGATTCTGAAAATTAAGTTACTTTTATAAAAACAGTAAGTTCTTGTGACAGTGAAAATTATTTAAAAAAATGTTCACTGCCAAATAGGCATGCACGATATTATCGGCATGGTATCGGTCGATATTAGTGTTAAAGTTCAATATCAGACATCGGCCATTCCATTAAAATAAATTGCCGATGTAAAAGGCGTTGTTTTTGCCTGCAGCGGCAGCACAACGTGATGAAGTCACGTGCGCCTACCCGATCTCATGACGGAGAGGAAAATTCAAACTATCAGAGGTGTGAAAGTTTTATTTTTCGTTGGTGAGGATGTCGGATTCCTAAGATTTATGGACTACGTTGAGCCTCACTACATTGTCTCCAGTCGGAGATATTTTTCCGACGTAACGTTACTCGAGTTACCAGCCATCATTTCTGACGTCATTGAGAAGCTAATAGCCGATAGCACGACTTGTTGGGTGAGTTTTACCACAGACATTTGGACGTCGTGTTAGCCCCGTTAGCATGATTACGGCACAATGGATAGACAAAAACTTTGAACATAAAAAGGCTGTCCTTCATGCACAGGAGTGCAGAGGATCCCACACTGCAGCTAGGAACCTGGAACAAGCCTCCACAAGTGAGACAGCATCGCTAATGCTAATAAATAATATTTAACACTTTTCATTTAATATAAGTTAAAGTGTTATAAACATCATATGTCTGTTAATGAAATATGTCACCAGCTCTTACAGCTGTTGCACAATTTTTGTAGCAAATAAGTCTAAATAAGAGGTCTATGTTCTGACAAAGGAAAGTATATAAAATATCGGTATTGGCATCGGTTATCGGACAAATAAGTTTTAACATATCAGCATATCGGCCAAAAATCCAATATCATGCATCTCTACTACCAAGCACAAATCACACATTATTAGAAAAATTTTTTGGCTTTGACTTCTTCTTTAAATTCATGTGTCCAGTTTACAATTTTACAAAAGCCGTTTAAACATACAATGTAAATAACTTTACCCACAAGCAGAGGCGGCGATTTTTATCGTTACTCTAATACACACGTCAAACTCAAGGCCCGGGGGCCAAATGTGGCCCTTGTTGACATATAATCTGGCCCCCAAGATGATATGTTAAACGTAAAATACTTTAACTTGAATTTTTGAAGGAATCTTTGATTATGATGTCAAAATATGCAAGAGAGAACATCAAATGAGACCAATCAAACTTTTTTTGAAGGAACTTGCAACTAAGAAAAGATGTCGGGTATCTAACTTGAGTTCATGTAGATTCTGAAACTGGTCCTTAGTTTGAAAAAGGTTTTAATTTTGGCCCCCTTTTATAAGTGAGTTTGACACCCTGTGACTACTCCAAGGAATGACAGAAAAACTTTATTTTAGTTTCAGAAGATATTAAAGATGCTGCAGTTGGTAAACATGTTCAAACACTGTGAATTTTTTAGGTAAATGTTGCCTGTCCACGACACAAGTAAAACTATATATTTTTAGTTTTTTACAACAAGCTGCTGAAAGTCACAGGCTCACCATCCTCTGTCTTTGACTAGTCTGATTGTACACGGTCATTACATGCTTTCTTGCAGCTCCAGTCAAAACCAGACAATGAGTGTAATTTTGATGGCAGTAAGGGGACTTCCACAAACCTCTTTAATGGGAAAAAATGCTCTTGCACAGAATGTTTCTGCAACAAGCAAGTCAAATAATAAAGCTGTGCATGGTTTTCCTCAAAGGTCAAGACCACTACGACATGATACAGTGCTGGTTTTAATCATCAACATCCTAATTGATTTATTAGTTTATAATTTTGTTGGGATGCACACTCTTCTGAATATTAATTGTCCACATTGTATGCATGCATTAGAGTAAACATCCACTCTATTTAGTAAGTTCAGATCACTCTAATATTTTCAGTAATCTCTAGTTGCAGTCACAGAAAGCAACAAAGAGCATCTTTACATCAGAGGTCGTCGCAGCCGGACGGAACTTTCATCTCAGGGTGGCCTAACTCGCTGGCGCATGCGCAAATAAGTCACGCATTCATGTTAAATTTTAATCGTTTCCTTTTAAATATAACCAACAACAGGCAAATATAAATGCGCAAACAAATTCTAAAAGGCTGCAAATATTTTTAAACATGTTGTATGATAATTATTTAACAAAGCTAAAGTCTCAAGGCTGAATGAAAACATAGCTGCTAGCTTAGCTAACGGAGAAAACATGTGATGCCAGAAACAACTTTTAATAACACAGGGCTTCCAAAACCTCAGCTTTATTTTTAAAGTTATCAATTAATAATACCATACTAATTTTTAATTTGAAAACGCACCTGTTACATGGAAATACCCAACTTCTTCTCTTCAACAGGTGACAAACTGAACTAGTTCAATCCGGATTGACCAACAAACTGCATCTGCTGCTCTCCTGTGTTCCTATTGGATGATTGAACAACTTCGCTGCCAGTTATTGGTCAGCTGCACCTGTCAATCAAGTTGACGTCATTCGGGCTGTGTTGTGGTGTCGCCCTCTGGTGGTTAACACCCGGCATTTCTTTTATTTTGTTGATTGGACCGAGGCAATGTTCCCAAAGAGAGAAAACAAACAAACAAAACAGATAAATAAAATATTCTGTAAATTAACTCAGATAATTAAGCTTGCAAAAAAAAATAAAAATCCTAAACTAGTTTCCTGAACTAAAATTTGTAACAGAAAGCTCGTTTGACTAAAACTTCCTGCAGCCAGTTAACCAGCTCGAGAAGCAATGCTTATAAAGTTGAGCACATTTATAGTAAATTATAAAAACCCTCAGCCGGTGAGTTTTCAGGTCACTGATCAGACATTCTGGCAATTAATCTTGCACTTATTTGAACTAATCACAGAAGTGCTCCCAGGAGTTTTGCGGTGATGACTTGGAGCTTGCACCTGCTCTTGGCAAGAATAAATTAGTCACTGTGCCAGAAAGTAAACTCACCTCTGACTTCTATATATAGAGACTGTTACACTTAGGATGCTACAGTTAAATAACAGGAAGTCAAAGTACCAAAAGATGTGGTTTGCGTTGAAGCAACCACAGCACACTTCTATAAATATCATAAATACTTGGCCTGCAAGCAAATCTCCCTTCAGGCCAAACCAGCAAAAGAATCGACTAAACCTGACAGCAGCTATGTTTAATGGCTGATGGTTGAGATTTTGCAGCTCATTATACTGGATCATCGGAAGCTTAAAAAAACAAAGATTTCTTTCTAAGGAAAGCTTGAACAATTTAGCAAGGTCCCACTTCATGCCTCTCTGCAGCTGATTCAGGCACAGTTTCATTCATATCCCATGCATATGAATGAAAGATAAATGAGTCAGACCAGCTCAAATTAAAACATATTTTTCATATTTACTCTCTATTTAGGACATGCTTTGTGAGATTAAAAGCCAATCAGTCCATATCACCATAGGCGGCTCCAGGGGGTAGCTAGAGGGTGCTATAGCTCCCCCTGGAAAAGTCATAGCACCCCCTTAGCACCCCCAAGAAAATATCAGATTGTTTTCTTTTTCATCAGAGTTAATATTATTTAATATGTGGTTGTTGTGATATTTTCCTTGCAAAACACAACTAATAAAAAAAAAATCAATCATTATATTGTTAAAATAAAATCAGATCTCACAACAGGAAATGAACCACGGATCCGGAAGTGAAAATTCAAGTTACTGAAAGTTCGGTAAACGTTTGAAAAGTGCATGAAATGCTAAAATGGACCGTTGTCTTTTACCCAAATTGCCTAGAATGAACCAGAGGAGGAGGATTTTTTTGGAAGCAGACTGCAACCAATGAATGAGCAATAACTTGGAAGAAGGAGATCAAGCGTACGGCCATCCATCCACATCAATGGAGAATGCTGCTGACGCTAGTGCTGGACAGCTGGAGGATGGAGCCAGCATGTTCTACCTTTGGGCAGTTCCCAGCAAATCCTGTTTGTGGTGTATCCTGGTCTGATCCACCAGCAGAACCCCAGAAAGACGAGTGATGTCTTCAACACTGACCCAGTAAGGAGCAGAAACTGGTGAAATGATGCCTCTGGATGTGTCTTTTTTAGCTGATGCAACTTGGTAAATCATTTCCTGGCTTGCAGTGATAATAAATGACTTTATCTGATCACATTAAATAACTTCTTTCAACCAAAATCCAAAGTAAACTATTTATTAAAATAGTCAAACTTTGTCTAAATTCATGCGCATATCAAACCAAAATAATTCCTGCTCAAAGAGTCAGTTTTGTCTTAGATAAGAAAATTAAGCCTTGATTGATTCATTATTATTGTTTATTATTGTTGTTGATTCTTAGTTTGATTATTTTTGTAATAAAACTTCAAAAAGACAACTTGGGTCTCTTCATTCAGATGAATATTCATTTGTTCTGGTACAGAACTCCCTGTAATTAACAGATTCTACTTCAGTGACTGATTCTGATCATTAAAGGGTGAATATATTAATAAACTGGTTGAAAACAACAAAGTCAGTTTTGCGTTGTGTGTTTCTTTGACTGATGAAGCCTTCTGGATCGAAGACGAAACGTTTCAGCACAAAAAAAGAAACTGTCCAGATGACCCGACTGAAAAATGTTGGATTGTATACCTGGATTACTGAACATGACTTTGTTGTTTTCAACCAGTTTGACACAACTGTCAACAAGGAAGAGGGCCGGCAATGGAGGAGGGGGCGTACCAAAGAGACCATCTTAGCACCAACAAAACTGGTTTGTTCCACTTTGGAGTAAGCTGTTGGGGGAAGAATCAGTTTTGTTGTGTGTTTCCTTGACTGATGAAGCCTTCTGGATCAAAGGCGAAACGTTTCAGCACAAAAAAGAAACTGTCCAGATGACCTGACTGAAAAATGTTGGATTGTATACCTGGATTATTGAGCATGGACTTTGTTACTTCTATTGCTTGTTCATGAGATATGTTGCCATATGAATGAAAACACACACACACACACTAAAAAACAAGATGCAATCAAATAAAGGGCACACGACCGATTTTTAACTAAAGCTTTAGTTTTTATTTGACAGCAAACAAAGATTCTCCGGTGAACTCACAGCACTCGGTTGTTTAGATAAGCTGGAAAAATGTGATGGATTTTCCTCACGGAGCATGAGGTCTTCTCTAATTCAACACTTCTTCACAGACCCAATAAAAATCTAACAATAAATGAAATAATAAATAAAAGTAGGGGAAAAAGAGCACAAACCTTAAATCCTTGCAGTGAAGCGTGATGACTTTGCATTTTGGATTTAAATTTTTGGCTTCTTTATTGTTTTCATTATTTCAGAGTTACTGATCTTCTTTGATGCAGAGCTTGTAAATTGACCTTAATGTGTTTGTGTCATGCAACTCTGTGTTAACGTCCTCCAGATGTAACCCTGGGAATAAATAATCCAGTGAATAAATAAGCACAAAGAAAAAGCTGTACCTGAAATATGTGTTTAAAATAACAAGAGCACCAACGCTCCTGGGGTGCAGAAGAAAAAAACAACAACTATTAAGGATAAGCGAGCCGTTCGTCTGTGACCAGGCATTTGTGAAACAAACGTGTTGTTGGCTCCACTTCCACTGAGCTGTCACGATGAAATGACCTGTTTGTTGCCGAGCTTCTGCTCTGCGCCCGATTGTCGTTTTATTAAGGTCACGTTCGTAAAGCTGCAATTTGCTGCCAAGAAAACACGATAAACTCAGTGCATTTCACTCCTGGCCTGCAAAGACGAGCAATCTCCAGCTGCCTCTGGCTTCAGCCGCGGTCCAACACGTCCGACTTCACCCTCCTGATGGAGCGTGATGCAGGTCGGCCTCACGCTGTTGGATGGGATGGAAGCAAAATGGCTGGTTTTGACTACGTCAACTGAAATATGTGACACGGTGAATGTACAGGTGAGACAACGTTAGCCATTTATTATTGCTGTGGGAGTGTATGCTAATGATGTTCCTGCATGTGTCTGTTAGTAAAATATATTTTGAACCAGTGGATGAATATTACTGACACTCTCAGACAGTAAATATATGATCTATATCTACAGCTGATTATCTTCTGAAGCCAGTCCCATTCAAGATGGCTGCCACAGCGAAGAAACCTTAGCAAACACTAAAATGGTTATAACTCAGACAGTTTTGGAGATATTTAAATAAATAATTACTGTGTTAGAAGCTGAGTTGTTCCAAATTCATACTCTGAGCGTTTCTTCATTTGGCAACATCTTTCGCCTAAAACGTGCCCTTAATTATTGAAGAAAACTCTGTCTGTCTGTTAGCAAAATATCCTATGAATCACTGGACATATTTTAATGACACTGACAGAAAATAATCTTTGGATATGCATTTACAACCGATTAACTTTTGGAGTTGGCCCAATTCAAGATGGCCACCACAGTTCATTGGTATTAGCTAACACAAAATGTTCACAACTCGACCAGCTTTACAGATATTTAGTTAAAATGTGGTGTGGCAGAAGCTGAAAGTTGACCTCAACACATCTGAGTCTTACATCTCTGCAAATCATCCAATGTCAAGATTTGACTGGATTGGTTATAATCCCTCTAATCAAGAAATAATATTTCTTTAAAACTCTGGACTGAAAGGCAACAAGCGTTATTCATCATTTGAGAGAATGCCCATTCTATTAATATATGTATTTTTTTTAAGTGGGCATCAATAATATTTTGTCAGAAGACATCCAGCAGAAGTCACAAGCAGCCGTGGGAGCTGACCATTGGACAGAGAGTAACTGTGTCTCGAGGGGAACTCGTCTGGAAAACAAGGTTTGTATTTTCAGGCTTGTTGCTGCGACTGATCAAACTACAGACTCACTGTGCTTCTGGAAAACATCTTCTGGATAGAACCTCCCCAAAATTAAGATGTAAATAAAAATAAAAACTGAATGTAATCATTTCCAAATCTCATGAACGTATTATGGGGAGTGGTGGTGCTGAGGTTAGAGGAGGTGGGCCTGTAATAGAAAGGTCGCCGGTTCAACTCCCAGCACGACAACATCACAATGTGGGTGGGATAGGTGAAGCACCCATACCTGTCTCTACCATCCATTGCCCCACTCTGGGCCCTTGAGCAAGGCCCTAACCCCACCATCTGCTCCCCTGGGTGCCCCAGACAGCAGCTCTCTGCTCCACACAGAGGCTGTGGTAGCTCGGTGGCTGTGGTTGTGTCAGGAAGAACATCCGGTGTAAAAATAATCAGCAAGTCTTCGTGTGAGTTAGTTCACTGTGGTGACCCCTGAAGAAGAGAGCAACTGAAAGAAGAAATAAATAAATGAACTTATATAATATTCACAATAAAACATGAACAAATGATTAAATTAAATTTTACCGTTTAATAAAAGGATAATTCTGAGTTGATCCACTCTTCTAAAAAAGGTTGGGACAGGAACAACTAAGAAAAGTTCAGTAAGAAGACTGAAAGAGAACTTAGGTCAGGGGTCAAAAAGCCATTTCTGCTTCTTTCTCTACATTAAACATGTCCAGAGCCGCAAAACTCGCTACAATTGTCATTATCAACTGGTGGCCCATGGGCCGCTTTAAGTTTTAGAGGGGGCTTTTCAGGCCAGTAGGTGTGAAATTATAAAACTATAACCATCCAACGATTGTTAACATTTATTGATATTTTGACATTTTTAGACAAAGACTGGATTCCATCCATTTATCCATCATCTTTACTCGCTTTTTCCTTTGTAGGGTTGTGGGGAGGTCACTGGTGCTCAAATCC